GATTTATATAGGGTGAATGATTGCTGGGATTTGGTTTTACGCCACAGTTAATTCAGTGCACAACTATGTCTCTTAAGATTTCTGGTGTCGCCATTCTGCCATGGTTGTAATGGTCAGGGCCTGATACTTTGTGTAGTTAGAGGAGCAAGTGAGTCTGGTGTGGATGAAAGCGAACTGTTGTAGACACAAGTGGCCAGGTCAGGGCAGGACAAGGGAGAGATTCTGTCATAGAGGCGGTCAGTTGCAGAGTAAAAAGGAGAAGGGTTAAAGTTGTGAAGGTTTCTGTGGGTAATTGTTTGCTGCTTGGAGGGATAGGTGTTTGAAGAACTGTGAAGGTGATGAGATTGTGATCATGAGAGAGGAAAGGGGTGTTTGTGAGGTTGTAGGGAGTGCAAAGATGGGAGAAAACAAGGTCTAATGTACAGTTGCAAGAAAAAGTATGTGAACCCCTTGGGATTACATGGAGTTTTGCATGAATTGGGCATAAAATGTGCTCTGAACATCATCTAAGTCACAACAATAGAAGAACACAGTCTGCTGAACATAATACTACACAAACATTAGATGTTGCCATGGTTTAATTGCACATAACATGTAAACATTCACAGTGCAGGGAGGAAAAAGTATGTGAACCTTTGGACTTAATAACTGGTTGACCCTCCTTTGGCAGCAATAACCTCAACCAAACGTTTCCTGTAGTTGCAGATCAGACCTGCACAACGATCTGGAGTCATTTTGGACCACTCCTCTTCACAAAACTGTTTCAGTGTAGCAATATTCTTGGGATGTCTGGTGTGAATAGCTCTCTTAAGGTCATGCCACAGCATTTCAATCTGGTTGAGGTCAGGACTCTGACTGGGCCACTCCAGAAGGCGTATTCTGTGCTGTTGCAGCCATTGTTTTGTTGAATTACTTGTATGCTTTGGGTCATTGTCCTGTTGCATCACCCATCCTCTGCGGAGCTTCAGTTGGCGGACAGATGGTTGTACGTTTTCCTGCAAAATGTCTTGATAAACTCTGGAATTCATTTTCCCATCAATGACAGCAAAGCAGCCCCAAACCATGATGCTCCCTCCACCATGTTTTACAGTGGGGATGAGGTTTTGATGTTGGTGTGCTGTGCCTTTTTTTCTCCACACATAGTGTTGTGTGTTCTTCCCAAACAACTCAATCTTGGTTTCATCTGTCCACAGCATATTTTGCCAGTAGTGCTGTGGAATATCCAGGTGCTCTTTTGCAAACTTCAAACGTGCTGCAATATTCTTTTTGGACAGCAATGGCTTCCTCCGTGGTGTCCTCCCATGTACTCCATTCTTGTTTAATGTTTTCCTTATTGTAGATGTGTCAAAAAAAATGTTAGCATGTGCCAGAGATTTCTGTAGGTCTTTAGCTGACACTCTGGGATTCTTCTTTACCTCATGCAGCATTCTGCGCTGTGCTCTTGCAGTAATTTTTACAGGACTACCACGCCTAGGGAGAGTAGCAACAGTGCTAAACTTTCTCCATTTGTAGACAGTCTGTCTTAACGTGGACACATGAACATCAAAGCTTTTGGAGATACTTTTGTAACCCTTTCCAGCTTCATGTATCTCCAAAAGCTTTGATGTTCATGTGTCCACGGTAAGACAGACTGTCTACAAATGGAGAAAGTTTAGCACTGTTGCTACTCTCCCTAGGCGTGGTAGTCCTGTAAAAATGACTGCAAGAGCACAGCGCAGAATGCTGCATGAGGTAAAGAAGAATCCCAGAGTGTCAGTTAAAGACTTACAGAAATCTCTGGCACATGCTAACATTTTTTTTGACACATCTACAATAAGGAAAACATTAAACAAGAATGGAGTACATGGGAGGACACCACGGAGGAAGCCATTGCTGTCCAAAAAGAATATTGCAGCACGTTTGAAGTTTGCAAAAGAGCACCTGGATATTCCACAGCACTACTGGCAAAATATGCTGTGGACAGATGAAACCAAGATTGAGTTGTTTGGGAAGAACACACAACACTATGTGTGGAGAAAAAAAGGCACAGCACACCAACATCAAAACCTCATCCCCACTGTAAAACATGGTGGAGGGAGCATCATGGTTTGGGGCTGCTTTGCTGTCATTGATGGGAAAATGAATTCCAGAGTTTATCAAGACATTTTGCAGGAAAACGTACAACCATCTGTTCGCCAACTGAAGCTCCGCAGAGGATGGGTGATGCAACAGGACAATGACCCAAAGCATACAAGTAATTCAACAAAACAATGGCTGCAACAGCACAGAATACGCCTTCTGGAGTGGCCCAGTCAGAGTCCTGACCTCAACCAGATTGAAATGCTGTGGCATGACCTTAAGAGAGCGATTCACACCAGACATCCCAAGAATATTGCTACACTGAAACAGTTTTGTGAAGAGGAGTGGTCCAAAATGACTCCAGATCGTTGTGCAGGTCTGATCTGCAACTACAGGAAACGTTTGGTTGAGGTTATTGCTGCCAAAGGAGGGTCAACCAGTTATTAAGTCCAAAGGTTCACATACTTTTTCCTCCCTGCACTGTGAATGTTTACATGTTATGTGCAATTAAACCATGGCAACATCTAATGTTTGTGTAGTATTATGTTCAGCAGACTGTGTTCTTCTATTGTTGTGACTTAGATGATGTTCAGAGCACATTTTATGCCCAATTCATGCAAAACTCCATGTAATCCCAAGGGGTTCACATACTTTTTCTTGCAACTGTATCCCCATGTGTGAGTGAGTGGAGGACTGTGTCCATTGTGTCAAGGCAAAAGATGAGGTTAGGTTGAAGAGTTGGGATGTAGCTGGGTTGTTCACATTAATGGGGATGTTAAAACCTCCAAGAATGATAGTGGGTATTTCAGAGGGGAGAAAGTAGTGTAGCAGATAAGTCATCAAGAAAGCGCGACACTGGTCCAGGAGGCCAATAGATCACTGCAATCCTCAGAGAAATGGAAGAAAACAGCCAAATGCAGTGAGTCTCGAAGAAAATGATGGGGTGGGGGGTTAGGGAGGACTTGAAAGGTGCTCAGTGGGGATAGAAGCAAACCAGCGCCACCTCCTTTCCTACCACTGGGTCTGGGTGAGTGAGTCCAGTGGAGTCCACTTTCCTAAGGGCTGCGAGAGAAGCAGAATCTGATGCTTGAAGCCAGGTTTCTGTAATTGCTAGTAGGTTAAAGGAGTGAGCGAAAAAAAAAAGGTCATGGACAGAGGTCAGCTTATTACAGACAAAGTGGGCATTCTATAGTGCACATGTAAAAGGGAGGGTAGTTTTTAGGAGCATGTGGGTTGCGGCTATTCCTGGAGGAAGGAGGGTGCCTGGTGTGGGGGTGAGATACTGGAGGACCAGGGTTCAGAGAGATATCCTCAGAGGTTAGGAGAAGGAGGGTGAGGAAAGTAAAATGTGAGCAGGATGTATTCGTATACATATACAATATAAAAATCCCTAATTAGAGCATCAAAAATAAATAAAAGAAAGATACAGATGAAACTCGAAAAATTTGAATATTGTGCAAAAGTTCATTTATTTCAGTAATGCAACTTAAAAGGTGAAACTAATATATGAGATACTTCAAGCCGTGATTTGTCATAATTGTGATGTTTATGGCTTACAGCTCATGAAAACCCCAAATCCACAACCTCAGAAAATTAGAATATTACATGCAATCAATAAAACAAGGATTGGACATAGAACAATATCGGACCTCTGAAAAGTATAAGCATGCATATGTACTCGGTACTTGGTTTGGGCCCCTTTTTGCAGCAATTACTGCCTCAATGTGGCGTGGCATGGAAGCTATCAGCCTGTGGCACTGCTGAGGTGTTATGGAAGACCAGGATGCTTCAATAGCAGCCTTCAGCTCTTCTGCATTGTTCGGTCTCATGTCTCTCATCTTTCTCTTGGCAATGCCCCATAGATTCTATATGGGGTTCAGGTCAGGCGAGTTTGCTGGCCAATCAAGCACAGTAATCCCATGGTCATTGAACCAGGTTTTGGTGCTTTTGGGAGTGTGGGCAGGTGCCACGTCCTGCTGGAAAATGAAGTCAGCATCCCCATAAAGCTCGTCTGCGGAAGGAAGCATGAAGTGCTCCAAAATCTCCTGGTAGAGAGCTGCGTTGACCCTGGACTTAATGAAGCACAGTGGACCAACACCAGCAGATGACATGGTGTCAGGGCTCCAGGGTATGACCAGAGGTATGTGAACTGACGCAGGGAAGCGCAGGCTTCAGATAGGTTATAAACAATATAATTTATTAACACTAACAATACATAAACGCAGTGCAATACTAAAACATGACACAGTGCAAACGAACCAAACCACCCACAGATAACAATACATACAATGCAAGCGTCGTCAGGCAGGCCGGGTCAATAACAATCGGGCAGGTAGGAACAGGAGGAGCAGGCAGAGAGTAGTCAGGTCACGAGCAGGGTCCAGCAACTAACGGGCAGGTAGGTACAGGGGGTCAGGCAGAGAATGGTCGGGGTCACAAGCCAGGGATCAAACAGGAGAAGTCAGCAGAGGTCCGGATCAGGCAGGGTCAGCAACGAATTAGACAGGAACAGGGACAGGAACAGGGATGCAGGTAACAAGATACAGGGGCCCATAGAAAAGCACACACCAAGGCACAGACTGCAGGTCTGGCCATCCCTTAAATACACCTGCATAATCAGCTTCAGGTGTTTGGCTGACTACAGGGTTGAGTCTCTGATTGCTGAGAGCACCCGCTGGCCAGCCCTGGTACTGCAGCCCACAAGGCAGGTGAGTCCCACCATTACTGGCAAGTCCATTCCTGACAGTACCCCCCCCTCAAGGAGCGGCCTCAGGACGCTCCAAACAGTCCTAGCTGGGCAAAATGTTCCACCATCCGGGTCTGGTAACTGGCGGGATATCAAAGACTGACACATCGGGCTGGACTCCAGGCAGCGGCACATCGGGCTGGACTCCGGGCAGCGGCACATCGGGCTGGACTCCGGGCAGCGGCACATCGGGCTGGACTCCGGGCAGCGGCACATCGGGCTGGACTCCGGGCAGCGGCACATCGGGCTGGACTCCGGGCAGCGGCACATTGGGCTGGACTCCGGGCAGCGGCACATCGGGCTGGACTCCGGGCAGCGGCACATCGGGCTGGACTCCGGGCAGCGGCACATCGGGCTGGACTCCGGGCAGCGGCACATCGGGCTGGACTCCGGGCAGCGGCACATTGGCTGGACTCCGGGCAGCGGCACATCGGGCTGGACTCCGGGCAGCGGCACATCGGGCTGGACTCTGGGCAGCGGCACATCGGGCTGGACTCCGGGCAGCGGCACATCGGGCTGGACTCCGGGCAGCGGGACATCGGCTGGCACCGGGCCCCAGGAGGGCTGGACTCTGGGCAGGGCACATAGGGCCCCCAGGAGGAGCGTCAGGCACCGGGCCCCCAGGCGGAGCGGCGGGCGCTGGGCCCCCAGGCGGAGCGGCGGGCGCTGGGTCATCAGACATTGGATCGTCTGGCTCGACAGCAGGCATCGGGTCACCAGGTATGACAGCGGGCACCGGGTCATCAGGTACCGGATCGTCTGGCTCCACAGCGGGCATCGGGTCACCAGGCATGACAGCGGGCACTGGGTCATCAGGCATTGGATCGTCTGGCTCGACAGCGGGCATCGGGTCACCAGGTATGACAGCGGGCACTGGGTCATCAGGCATGATAGGATCATCAGGCTGGATCAGTTCATCAGGCTGGGTAGAGACATCAGGCTGGGTAGAGACATCAGGCTGAAGTGCGGGTGCCGAGGCACCAGGCTGAACCACGGAAGGCAGGTTCTCAGACGGCAGACTCACCGGTTTGGATACTGGCAGGATGGTACTGGTTGGAAAGAATTTTCTCTTTTTTCTGGTTTTAACTACTGGAGCACTGCAAGTAAACGCAGGTCTGCAAACGAATGGAGCAGCTGAGGACAGAGAAGAGCTGGAAGATGGAACAGAGGAGGGAGCAGTTGCTACAGAGGACTTCTTTACAGGGTTAAAGAAAGGATAGGTGCAGCGAGTGGGAGCAGAGGACTGGTATGTGGTAGTTAGAGTATACTGGGCAGTCACTGGGGGTGCTGTCGGGGATGCAGGAAGAGTGCCTTGAGTGGAGGAATGATGTTGTAAGCTGACTGAGGCTGGGTGCAACAAGTCTGACCATGTCTGCAGTATGGGTTGAACAAAGCTCCGCTTACACAAAGCCTGTCTGGTCAAAGACTGCACTGCGTTTATACAATCTCTTAGTACCTGTGGTGAACATACAGAATAACGCTCCAGAAAGTAATCCACATCATCCTCTAATAACCATACCAGGGACTCTACCTGGTCAGCACTAAATGGCAGCAAAAATTCATCCCTGCATTCGGGGGTACCAAATGAAACCAACTCAGCACAAACCTGAATCAATGGCTGCACCTCAGAGAATTCTGTGCCCTGATCTACTAGGCAATGAGCGATCCGTATACATTCTAGTAGTTGATCCCTGGGATACTCCTTCAGAGTCTGATAAGCATATTCTCTGTCATCAAACACTAGCAGAGATAAATACACAACCTCATCAAGATCCATCCTTCCCAGCAACAATAAGCCAAGATGGCTTCCCTGTGCAGCCACTTCTGGTCAGGATTGGCCTTGGTGTAATGTCAGGGCTCCAGGGTATGACCAGAGGTATGTGAACTGACACAGGGAAGCGCAGGCTTCAGGTATGTTATAAACAATATAATTTATTAACACTAACAATACATAAACTCAGTGCAATACTAAAACATAACACAGTGCAAACGAACCAAACCAAACCACCCACAGATAACAATACATACAATGCAAGCGTCGGCAGGCAGGCCGGGTCAATAACAATCGGGCAGGTAGGAACAGGAGGAGCAGGCAGAGAGTAGTCGGGTCACGAGCCGGGTATAGCAACTAACGGGCAGGTAGGTACAGGGGGTCAGGCAGAGAATGGTCGGGGTCACAAGCCAGGGATCAAAGAGGAGAAGTCAGCAGAGGTTCGGATCAGGCAGGGTCAGCAACGAATCAGTCAGACAGGAACAGGGATGCAGGTAACAAGATACGGGGGCCCATAGAAAAGCACACACCAAGGCACAGACTGCAGGTCTGGCCATCCCTTAAATACACCTGCAGAATCAGCTTCAGGTGTTTGGCTGACTACAGGGTTGAGTCTCTGATTGCTGAGAGCACCCGCTGGCCAGCCCTGGTACTGCAGCCCACAAGGCAGGTGAGTCCCACCATTACTGGCAAGTCCATTCCTGACACATGGCTCCCCAAATCAACAGACTGTGGAAACTTCACACTGGACTTCAAGCATCTTGCAGTGTGTGCCTCTCCATTCTTCCTCCATACTCTGGGTCCTTGGTTTCCAAATGAGATGCAAACGTTGCTCTCATCAGAAAAGATGACTTTGGACCACTGAGCAACAGACCACGTCTGTTTTTCTTTAGCCCAGGTAAGACGCTTCTGATGTTGTTTGTTGTTCAGGAGCAGCTTGACAAGAGGAATACGACATTTGAAGTCCATGTCCAGGGTCCGTCTGTGTGTGGTGGCTCTTGATGCACTGACTCCAGCCTCAGTCCACTCCTTGTGAAAGTCCCCAACACTTTTGAATGGCCTTTTCCTGACAATCCTCTCCAGGCTGCAGTCCTCGCTGCTGCTTCTGCACCTTTTTCTTCCACACTTTTCCCTTCCACATAACTTTCTATTAATATACTTTGATACAGCACTTTGGGAACATCCAACTTCTTTTGCAATTACCTTTTGAGGCTTTCCCTCCTTATGGGAGGTGTCAATGATGGTTTTCTGCACAACTGTCAGGTCAGCAGTCTTTCCCATGATTGGGATTCCTACTGAACCAGACTTAGAGACCATTTAAAGGCTCAGGAACCCTTTGCAGGTGTTATGACTTAATTAGCTGATTGGAGTGGGACACTTTGAGCCTAGAATATTGCACCTTTTCACAATATTCTAATTTTCTGAGATTGTGGATTTGGGGTTTTCATGAGCTGTAAGCCATAATCATCACAATTATGACAAATCACGGCTTGAACTATCTTGCTTTGCATGTAATGAGTCTATCTTATATATTAGTTTCACCTTTTAAGTTGCATTACTGAAATAAATGAACGTTTGAACGATATTCAAATTTTTTGAGTTTCACCTGTATATGATCAGCAATCATAAATGGACTAACACAAAATATTAATAAAACTAAATAACATAGCCAACTCACGGTGGCCATTTTAATGGAGACCAGAATAATAGATAACAGTAGTGGGCCTTATTGCTGGACATTTCCTTCTTGCCGGATTTTGAACAATTGATAGAACTGTCTGATATCCATTTTAACTACCAAAAATTGGAAGCAATGAATCTCACTTTGGTAGCAGTCGCCCTATATCGTGAGGCCAGTTTCACCTTCAAGTGGGCCCCCTTCTTCATTAAATGTCTGGGTATTGCCAAATGACCTATAACAGCTTTTTACAGTTAACTTCCTGCTGCCCTCTTAACAATGTTTACAAACAACCTATAAATATGTAAAAAAAAAAAAAGAGAGCATTTCTTGGATGGATAGACACAATATAATCAAACAAAACATCCTACCCCAGATACCTCCTTCACGCGTTTCCAATCCATATTCCTCTGGTCCTCTTCAAATCCATCCAATCTATATTTAACAACTTTGCTCCAGCAAACCAGCTAAACTGTATCAAATTACCTTCCATCTTACAATTAGTTGGTACCTTTAAACTATGGACCTATTGAACAATCTGCCTCCCCGTCTTCACTGAACAGATTTCCTGGTGCATAGAAAGCGCCAACACTAGTACAATGAAAACATCCTACCATTGCCCACATCTGGCTCATTTGCAAAGAAACATACAGAATATCTTCCTCTTCCCTTCTCCTTATCTTCCAGACTGTCCAGACTATGAAACAAATCATTCAATCACTTCTTGTAACAGCAAATCTCAAGCCCCGCATCTTGTCACAAACTTCTACTAGCTGACAACCAACCAAATGCTGCATAACCCAGACTTCTCCCCACTGGGATATTTGTGGATTCCTTCAATTCTCATAGTGTCTCAAACCTTTAACTTTTAGCCCCTCTATTTAAATGGCCCAAGACCATTTGAAAGCTAATACACTTCACTGGCCTATTGAAACACGTACTTTCCTTCACTAATAAACTCATTTAACAAAAAAACTCAGGCCCACCTTCAATTCCTGTATAGGAGAGAAAGAAACCTTGAATGCGCTAGGTGCAAGAACCAAAATATTGACTGTTTTTTTAATTTCTCCATGTTTAACAAATATTAGGAATCAGGCTACAAACTTGTGGGTACAGAACTCTTAGTATGCTACATTCAATAAATTAAATAAGTAAATCCCTCCCTGACAATTGCTGATGGTGTGGCTCCTCAACTGGAGACATTTCTGGACCTTCCCAGTTCTACATATTTTTTTGCTCTCAAATCAACATCACCCAAAAATTCACTGACTGCATCAAACCTAAAGAGCCTGCCTTCTCCCTACTCCAGCACAACACCCTCCACTTAAAACATACAAAACTCTGTTGTCTTGATCAATGCTGCATCCCTGCATTATAAAAAAAAAAACAAAACCCCAACTCCATGTATAATACATCATTGGTTCCACCAGATCAATGATATCGGACACCTCAAAGGTCACCTGCTCTATTTAAAGGTACTGATTTGAAATTCCATACCACTCAATATAAATCTTTCCTCTCCATTCTGATTTCCCCCACCATAACACCCTCGTAAAAAAAATTTTTGTATCAGCACATCACATGCATCCCCTCCCCTTTTTCTCTTCTTTTCCTTATTTTTACCTCTTGCCATCTTTCCCTCCCACTTTTGATCCCTCTTACTCCGAGTAGCAGTGTAAATTTCTAAAAATTAGAGGGAAATCCTTCTGCGCTTAATGGGCATAAACCTAATTATTTTAGCTGCTGTCACTCAACTCTTTAACCACCAAGTGTAATCACATTTAAAATTATATAGTGAAAGCGCTTAAATTCTTATACAAAATTATACTCAAATACATTAGATTACAGGTGCAAAAAAAAAACTCAAATAATATCACATCATGTGCAATAACATTTCCTCCCAGCAGGGGGAGTAAAAATCAATTTTAAAATAAACACAAGCCTCTATTGTGAAATAATCATACACAGTGATATACCTATAAAATATATATGTGTTCAACACAAACTAAAAGTGCATATGTTAAAATACAAACTAAAGAAACCACAAATAAGTGATTACCACACTCAATAATTAATATTCTTATATATCCATGTGAAAAAATAGGTGAACACCATAATTAAAAAAAATATAAGTAGAATACTTTTTCTCCCTCAAAGTGCAACGGAATAATCCTAAGTGTGAAAAAAAATCCGTGCGTCACACTTAAAACAGTTGCTCTATTTAATAATAAAACAAGACAATCATTAGTGCAAAACAGTACATGCAGATGCAACTAAGTGTGCTGGTCTTAAAGCGTGATCCACTTCTAGTGTGTATGTTATCCTCCAAATGGCAGCAATGCCTGCTCCATGCAGCAAACAATTACCCGCAGAAACCTTCACAACTTGAACCCTGCTCCTTTCCACTCTGCAACTGACCGCCTCTATGACAGAATCTCTC